AAGAGGGTCTCAAGGTAAGTACATGACCACATTGTTTGTTTTCCCATATTCCCAGGCAGTACTGCTACAAAAATGCAGAATTATGCAAGGATGTACATCAGTACAAAAAGTGGTGAATGGCCAGTCTCATACCCATGACGCGTAGCTCCTGAGTTCCCCAGAGGCTGGCTGGTCTGCTCAGGAGGCAAGGTGGGAAATGCACTGTGGTCTGACCTATGACTCCCTAGTACCCAAGGAACAATGCCCCGATAGTGGGCTTCATCTTGGGAAATAGATCCTCAGAAACCTATCTGAATTTGAGATATTACTTTTCTGAGTTTTGCATTTAATTGGCTTCCTTTCTGCTTTCGCCAAAAGATGCTTCACTTTACTCAGCAACAGACAGCATAGCTTAAGAAAGGAGAAGCTGCTGACATCCTAAATACAGGATTCATTTATGAAAGCACCTTTTTTAGGTTACAGGATTAATATTAGCTAAGGGAGCTTGAAAACACTATTTTATGGCTCCAGCTTTTCATTTCTTTATTCAACAGACATGTATCCAAGGCCCATCACATAACAGGCATTTGCTTTCCACTGAGCCTTAAAGAAAAGCTCTCATCTCAAGGAGAGAGCATCCACCAAGAGAAGTAAACAAGAAAACAGATATTTTAGAATAAAAGCAGCAAGTGGTGAGACTCAAAAACAAAAGAACTGTAAATATTTAATGTCTAAACAACTATCCTGTCTGACAAAATGGATTTGAACTGACTGCTAGAGAATTAGTAAAAGTTTTCAAGGAGAAAAACAAACACATTTTAAGAAGAAATAAAAGCAAGTGAAGGTGCACTGTCCTACAAGGGCATGGAATTCCTAACAACAATTTACAAAAAAGCCACTGCAATCACTGTGACGTGTGTTTGAGGATTACAATACTGGCAGAAAATAAAAAGGTAGAGCTGAAGAGGGCAGCTAGAAAGCCTCTTACATTCTGCCCATTTTTAGCACTTTGGAGGAAGCATTGCCCTAACTCAGGTGACAATGATGACACCCTGCTTCCAACCTCAGCTGTGGACACGTGAGCCCCGCTGGACCTATGAAAGGGCTCCGTGTACCCATGCCAGGTCAAGGACAGATGAAAGACCCAACCTGAGACAACCAGAATCCCCATAGATTACCGGCAGACCCAACTTCAGGCAAGTGACCTGTTATTTGCAAAGTTCCTATGCTTAGGAGGGTCATGCCCATCCATGGCTTAATGCTCTGCTGTTGCCATTTTGGAATTCTCAACAATTTCATCTTGAAGTTGTGTTTGTAAGTGAAGTTCAACGACAACAACGAGACATGCACCCTAGCTAAGGGAAAGCACACTCCACGTGCATTACAGCATTCCAGGAGCCCCACTTTTTGCGGCAGATCAAGAAGGCTTAAAATTAGTAGGAATCATTTTGTTATATATAACACCAAATCTACTCACATGCTGATAGCCCCAGGGGGTCATGGTTTCCATTCAAACCAGAACTTGCTTCCAATATAGAAAGGAGATGGTGTTTTAAGAAAAGACTAAATAACCACATCATATCCTTCCTTTGCCTTATTAAACAAAAATGATAACATATCAGGGTTAAAGGTCACAGATATGCATATATAAAGTACAAATTGTGTGACTTTGGTGATCCCATCTATGAGTTAAATGCTCTTACATTTACTCTGACTTGCACACCATGGAATGGTGAGATTCTTACTTCTAATTTAAATTTTAAAGTTTTCTTTACTTAGAATGATAAGAAATAAAAATACGGCAACAAGTTCAAAGAGAACACAGAAAGGAGGGGGAAAATTCCTACTATAGTACCTTTAATGATACTTTTTTGAACAAGGGATCCCATAAATTACATAGCCACCCTTGGCTATCCAGAAAGCCAAGCTATAGGGATTTATTTTCTTCTAGGATCCTAAACTCTGAGGACAGTATGAACAAGTTGCAGGTGGGGGGTGGGAGGCAGTTTTAGTTGGGTTCCTGTCACCTGTCATCTGAGTCCTGACTAACACAGCATTAGTGTTAAGCCCATATGGTTTAGTCATGGGGTTTTAAAACTCACACTCCCAGAAGCTTCAGAGACCAAGAAGAAAACTGATCTGGAGTCCTTACGTTACTTTTATAATTTCAAATTATAAAATATTTTAAAGGATATAAATCACATTTATGGATGAAAGAGTACCAATCAAATGAACATATATACTCAGCTTGAAAATATCTACCAGTCTCCTTGGTAAACCCATAAAGACCTCCCCGATCTCATCGCTGCCTATTCCTACCCACTTACCCCAACATCCCTACTACCCCAAGCTTTGTGATTGCCTTTCCCTTGCTTTTTCCAGGCAGTGTGGTAGCTTTTTCAGGTGGGCTCAGCAGGAAGATGTGAAGGAGGACAGTTTAGAGGCCAGGAGACTCGCTAAGAAACAGCATGTCTGAGTTTGGCTGATCATCACTACTGAGTGCTTTCTGTAACACCTAGCTCAACAGATGAGTTTGTAAAATGTTCTTGTTTTTACACAAGTTTTTACAGACTATTTTTAATTTTTTTTTAAATTGTGGGCACTATTCACTCACTGCAACATGACCCAAACACGAGCACACAGAAATGAACCTTGGGACTGGCTAAGGGGCAGTAGATGAGCAAACTGCCTCAGCACTGATAGCCAGAAGGGAAATGGGAGAGAGGAGCTGGAGGAACAAAGAGAAGAAAGGAGCAAGCAGTTCCACATCTATGCTACGTTATCCTCTTCCTGCCTGTGAAAAAGCTATCTGACACAGAGTATGGTGCCTTTCTTTACATGTAACTGTTCTCCTGCCATCAGATTTTCAAATGAATTTCAGGATAAAAGAAGAAATACTTGGCCCAGAGCAATTAATCCTTAATTATAAAAGTTCATGGGGCATAGCACTTATTTGAGCTATGTAGGAGTTTAGCTCCTATTGTGTAAGTGGAGCCTCCTGTTCACGTCTTCATAGTCTTCTCGGCTCATAAAATAAGAACTTCTGCTCTAGCAGAATCATTACCTAAATACTTTAAGCCCTGGGACCTATTCACTGGCTTGAGTAGGAGGAGCAGTTTTTCCATGTTGCACTGTGAGCCTTGATGTTCACTGGTCGGCTTTTCTGTGTTGAGTGCCTCAGTGGGTTGGGGTTGCTCCATATGTGTGGCCTCTCACACCGGTTCTCTGAGCCTGACAGACTGAGACAAGTCCTTCCGGAAGATGGCTCAGGGGAATATCATTCTGAAGCCCATCTCCCATGAAAGTCCCAGCTAAACATGTACAAAATAGGAAATAGGAAATCCATTTTGACACACATTGTAGCTACATTCTCATTTGTCCATAATAAAATTCCCTACATCTATTTCTTTGTTCTATTCACAGTGTTCCTTATGTCTATTTCTCAGCTAGTTCAGAACTCAAGAGGAGAGATAGAGTGGACTAACCGGCCCCTTCAAATCTCAAGATCCAACATCCCTCAAATTATATAATTTAGTTAGCATTTATGAGATTTCCTTGTTAAAAAAATCCCTCAGGAAGATAATTAAGTGGTACCATTATATAACACAAGTCTGAGAAGTAGAGAAAAATAGATATGATAAACTCCTCGTAAGAACATCAATTTTCTTAATTTAAAAAGCCCTCCACAAAACAGTATGATTTTTCATCCTCCTGTTTTTCTTTTTTAACCCTCCTCAAACACAGACTCAGGATTTGTAATGCTCATCAGACTTCATATAACAATTTACAAATATTTAAATCAGCAAAACAAATTCGCCCATGAGCAACCCAGGAGCTGCCAGCACCAATTAAAAACAAGTGGTGTAAAACAAATTGATGAAAGATAATTTAGATGCAACACAATTTCAGTAGATATAATGTCTTCCATCTCTAAAAATAAGTAGACCTGAATAACAACAAAAAAAATCCCCAAGAAACAAACAAACATTTGTTCCATTCAGTAAAACAAATTGCTTTTATGTTATCTGAAAGGGCTCAGTCCAACACAAATATTAGCATTGAAATACAGCATTTGAGAATGTTGCCATAAATGCTTTTAAAGCATTCCTTTACACAATTTAATAAAAATGGTACCACAATTGGAAAAACAATGGAACAGAAAATTATGCAATATATGATCAAATGAAAGAACGTTAAGCTTTATTTAACGTATTTATTAATGCTCTTGAAATTAAATATTTGAAAAAGATTGCTTTTAAAGTAACATGACTTCAAAAGCTCCAAAATATAATTCTCTACTTTGAAATTGTTGCTTCCAAATAATATGAAAAGTTCTTTCTAAAAAGTTATCAGAAATCCTACTCGGAACTCTCCAGGGCAAGTTTCCCTCACCCTTCTACTCTTGAGTTTAAATTTTCTTTTCACTAGTTCCTACTATGGTTGTTCTAAATCTTCTTCATAGTTCTCAGATTCCAATGCTGTGTCTTCCACTTAACTTGTAGTAATAAGCTTGTTTTGTTTTGTTTTGTTATTTAATTAACAGGCACTTGCCACTGCTCCTCTCCCCACCCTGAAATCTCTCATATTTTCATGTATTCTCTTTCTCCTTCCCACCTTTTTGTCCTTCCTATCCCACACTAACTTTGAGAAGCTTTTCCTTTATTTCATTTTCCCTTCTGCTTTGGTCCCTTCTCCTGCAAAGATGATCAGGGTTTGTCCTTTCTCTCTCCCTGACAAACGCAGGCAGACACTGGGATCAAAGTCTCCATGTAATCCCAGCACTCGGGAGGCTGAGGCAGGAGGATCGCTGTGAGTTCGAGACCAGCCTGGGCTACATAGTGAGTTCCAGGTCAGTCTCACATACACAGTGAGACCCTGTCTCAAAAAGAAAAAAAAAATCAAAGTTTCCAATCCAGGAACCTATGGAGGCCAGGGAGGTCACGCAAATGAGACAAGTGAGCTGAGTCTAACGAATAACTACTGCAAATGGACACTGTGTATGAATGGGACAAAGCACGCACCTCATTCCCAAAGTAGAAGATCCAGTGGTGTCGAGAGGGAGGTAAGGCTCAGCGTCATCAGATCTTCTAGGTTTTTCAAGAAAAATAAAAAAGTTATGTTTTATATAAACTAAATGCTGAAAATTAATTTTTAAATTTTTTGAACTGTATATAAGACAATAATGTGTACGCCAGTCAAAGCTCATCTGGAAGGCCCAAAGGTAATTTTTTGCATGTGTCTGTGCATCCTTACCTGTTGTGCAACAGCGAAGGCTTCCAATCACACTACTATTCTGAAACTCAAAGCAACAGTCTCAGCCTTCTTAGCTTACTCTAAATTACCACAGCGTTTCACCAATGCTGATGGCTAAGTCACACTTCCGGGAGTCCCCTCTCTTGATTTTCCTGACATGGTATTTCCTTGGTTCTCTTCTTCCTTCTCTGTCCCTTCTTCAGCTGCTTTGTTTTGACCTCCTATGCCCTTCGGTACCACCTTACTGAAGAAGCCGTTCATATGTGTGGGAGGTTCACAGGACAGAATGCCTGGGCCGAAAATTTCACATGCATAGACTGCCGCAGGACAATGCTGTGCGAGATTAAGTGTCAACCCTACTTTGCATGTCAAGAGGGAGATATAGTGGTGTTTCTGATCCTCTGGTGAACACTAAAAGAAATGAAACGGGGTGATTTAACTGGCATCACTTATAGCCCAGCCTAGGATTGTTTTTAAAGTTCCTCAGGTGATTCTAATGCTCACCCAACTTGAGCAGCACCGGTATACGCGGTAGGTAAGCAGGTGACTACTCAAGACTGATGAGTTCCACCCTACGGTAATTGCTCCTTTCGGTGTCTGCCAGCCAGTGCAAGTCCATTTATTTATTCAAGCATTTCTGAGTTCCATGAAGAGCTCTGTGCCATCCCAGACAGTGCCAAGCCAAAGTAGGGTACTGATAAATCTCCCTCAGGCTGTATCTTGTATAATCTGAAAAAAATTTCTGTGCAATGTAAGTGTTTCATTGTAGAACTTGTAGAACTTTTCTCAATATTTTCATTTGGCTTCCAAATGGAAATTTTCTAGGCCAGAGATGTAGCTCAGTGGCACCTCTCCAGCCTTGCAAGCACAAGGTCTTGAGTTCAATCAGTGGTACCGGGGGAAAAAAAAACTGGAAGATAAAGTACAAGGGCCCAAGGATGCAGCTCAGTGGTACTGTACCTGCCTGGCAAGTGCAAGGTCCTAAATTCGATTCCCAGTACCACAAAAAAAAAAAAAGAAAGAAAGAAAGAAGGAAAGAAAAGAAAAGAAGCTTTCCAAATCTGTTTTCTACTTCTGTCTCTGTATACACTTATAAACTTTACTGCTCCATTTCCAGCTACCTGTTGTACATTGCCAATTTTCTTCCTTACGTTGCTCAGACCTTTTCTGGATTCGTCATTATAATGTTTCCATTCTCCGACCTACTGGACTGTGACACATTGACACAATCCTTGACCATCCTCAAAGAAAACGACAAAGCTTCTCCTTTATAGTTAGTGCTGCTTCTCTCTCATGCTGCTCTGCCGCCTGGCTCTGACTCACCTTTCCGACTTAAGGCAATGCTACTTCATGCTTGGCCCTCAGTAACTTCCTGCTTCCAGCCTCTTCCTCAGCTGTGTTCTACGGTGTGGCTCCTCTTTCTTACACACCTGTCCTGCATCCTGGAGGAATACAGAGAAGTCAATACCATGGTTCTCTTTAAGTGCATCACTCTAGAGTCAGACTCAGGGATGCACTCAGCTTCTTTTGGAGCTGATTTCATACACCTGTGAGCCAAAATCAACAGCACGCTGCCAGGAGGCTATGAACTGCCCACTCCCCACTCCAGAATACAAAGTTGAGCCTCCAGCTTCCGGCCAAATCCTCACCCACAGAGGCAGATCCTGTAGCACCTGTGACCTGGATGGGACCTTCAGAGACCCATGCCTCCACCTTGGAAGCATAAGAGTCTTTGTATAACTTGTGTAGTTACTTCCCAATAAATATATTTCAGGTCCTTTACCATTAAAAACGTTTTGTCCTCTCATTAAGCCTGTTGAAATCTTTCTCAATTCCACATCTCCCTCTCAAAGTAGCCCCGCAGATCTCCAATACCCAACAACTAAGGTTGTGCTCACTGGGGCTGGCTTTCCAGGCCCTTCTCACTGTGGACTTCACCAGACCTTCTGGTCTAGTCTCCCCTACGCCAGTGTTCCTACTCTGATCCCAGTGGGGTGCATGCAACAATTTGTGAGGCTGAAAAGAATCCGAATTGCTAAAATGCCCCACCCAAAAAGGGTACGGCTATTCGTGTTTTTATACTAACTGATTTATAAAAACGACATTTCTGAAACTAAAACTCCAGGATGATGGAGCATTGAAAGTTATAACAGCAATTATTCTTGTTGAGTTGAATGCGCCTATCCATTTCTCACTTTAATATTATGACTAATTTTTCATAAAATTTCATAGTACTTGACAAAGTACTGTGTTTTTGTTTTCTCTGCAACCTACACAATAATTCTGTGGCCATTTGAATGGAGGAAATTGATGCCCAAGAATAGTAGTTTAACTTTCTGGGTAATATAGTTTATAAGAAATATAGATGATTCTAAACCACAGATCTGATTTTTAAATCCCAGTAATATTTCACTTGCTCTTAGCCAAAAGGCTGAGAAACAAAAACCCAATAAGATTTTACTACCCAATCTAGCTTTCTTCATTAATGTGAATCTCTGCATCGTTCACCAATATTCACAAAAAAATTAATTAACTATCTTTGAGCATGTCAGTGGAAATGCTATACTTTTTTTTTCTTTCAAGACAGAGTCTCTATGTAGTTGAGGTTGTAGGCTGGTCCTCCTGCCTCAGCCTCTCAAGTGCTAGGATTACAGGTGTATGCCATCACACCCAGCTGTATACTTTCCTGATACTAATTTTTTAGAGCTATAATATGAGGCATATGCCTCTTCATATATTTAGAACTTTCCACAGATGGAGAATTGAAAGCTTATAAAACAGAAAGGTTGTATAATAGAAAGGTAGAAAGAAAAACAACACATCAGCAATTACACTGTTCTGCACAGAAAGTAGTCCATCATCAATCTTGGCCTCTTCATATTTTTATGCAAAAATCTAATTTCATCATTTATTGTGCTGATGGGACTGTCGCGAACCGGCGACGCAGAGCACTGTCCCGCAGTGCCTCAAACCTGAAAGAGCAGCGGGGTGGAGATGGGGCAGAGAGAAAGGAAGGACGCCAAGACAAGAGTCTGATCAAGGCGACGTTTATTGCCGGCAAGCACCGGCCTTTTAAAGGGAAAGGCCGAACTATTATGGGCTAGGATCACCATAGTAACCTCAACACCCGCTCCACGGGAACGAGGGTTCACACGGGCCTCAACACCTGGTCCACGCAGCCCGGGATGCTCGCACTCTGCACAGCGGTCCCAGCGCGCCTCTCCCGCCTCCCACGCCCCTCGCCCGGCCCTCGGGGCTGTCCGAGTTTCTCCCGTGCAGGGTCAAAACAAGTTTAACACGTGCAGTCCTTAAAAAGGAACAAATGTTGTCTTTCAAAAAGCCAGTGGGCCATGGCTGGCTTCCCACATGGGACAACAGCCAAAAATAAAAGGTATAATTTCTACTGTCATTTGCTATGGATTCCAATGGAAGAATGAAGGAATTGAGATTATAAAGTCACAAAAATCTACTCTGGTTTAATACTGATAAAGATAAAGTATTTCCCTGGAAAAACTCTCCACATCCAGGTAGAATTTGAGGCTGGGAAACAGCTGGAAAGAAGGAAAGAGGAATGGGAAGAGCACTTGGGACCTGCCTCCTGGTACACTGCTGGGAGTCAGAAAAGGCTCAATTTAACAGTAGTTAAATTTGCTTTCACAGAAAGCAAAATGTGCTCATTTTTAAAAAGTGGTATCTCTTGGACCTCTGGCTTATCTATTAGACTTCTATGAATTTGTCCCACAAAGGAGAAACACACACACGTACACATAGGTGAGAGGGGATCAAAAGTCAGACAAGGAAAAGTTGAAAGAGATTTAACTTTTACTGTATCCATCTGTGTCTTTGGGATTTTATCCAGTGAACATCTACTACATATTCAGGAAATTAACTGGTATAACATGAGTTGATTTTTTTAAATCTGTGCTTCAAATACATACACCCTGTGACTTATAAATTTCCTTTTAAAATGTATTCATAAATAAGAACCAAGAAGTCAGTGTAGCAATCTTTAGATGGAATCTAACTTCTAGTTAATAGTATAATTGTTCAATGCATTCCAGCACAAACACTAAATGTAACATTTGCAATCACAGAAAATAATATATTCACATACAATGTATTTTGTAAGATAAGATAAGTTGTTTGCCTAAAAAAGCAAAGTGTAACAATACATGGATAGTACATTACCACTTTTGTAAAAAGTGTGTGGGGTAGATAGCTCGCTAGCTAGACAGAACTACATATATTCCTGTAGCTACTTGGAGATTTTCTAGAAAGAGATAAAGGAAAGGTTAACAGTGGTTGACTGTTAAGGTGTCTGACAGATTACTGACTTGGGATAGGAAGATTTACTGTACTTTTTATCATACACTTTGCTTTTAGATTTTAATTGTAACATGTATTAATTTTTCAATAAAAAATGTTTTTAAGAATCAGTGCCTCACCACAGAAATAAAGAAAACCCACATCAAACACCTGTACTAATCAACATTGCATCCAATTCATAAATCTGATCATGCATTAACAGTATCTGAGGAGCATCAATAATCCAAAAGAGCAGGACCAAGATAAACAACAGAAGAAAAAACAGCTCACCAAGTATGAACAAAAGCTATTTAGTATTTCCAAAAATACTTGAGGTGACATTACACTCTCCAGAAAACAAAGAAACAGAAAGCAAACTGTCCTGAGAAACTAAAAAAGTAGTTAATAAACATAAGATCACACATCATAGATTCAAAACAAAAAGTTATACAAAACATGAGAGCAAAATTGATACCTAGAGGATAAATCCTTAAGAATCCATACGAATCTAATAAAAGTTTAAGAAAGAAAGAAGAAACAGAGATGAAATAATCAAATAAATAATAAAAGAAACTCGCAGAAGTAAAGTAAGACATGTGTTTTCATACTGGGAGCACCCCTGAGAGCCAAGCCCAAGACATGAGCGGATTCTTGTGAAAGGTAAGAATCCCAAGGATAAAAAGGGAATTTCAGAAAGCAAATCAACAAAAAATGGGTTCCTTATGTAGGAATGAAAACCAAAATGGCATCAGATTTATCAGCTGTTGCACTAAATGCAAGAAGATAACAAAATAGTGGCCTCAAATTAGGAGGAAATAATTTTAAATTTGAAAGTCAATACCAAGGAATCCTATCAAACGAGGGGATAAGACAGAAATCTTTCAAATATAAAAAGGGACAGAGAAAATTCATTCCTTTGTACCTTCATATGTACTCCTTGCAGTTAAATCCATATTAAAGAAATACTGAGATTAAGCAGCTGGACACGTGAAAAATAAAAGCAATTAGAACTATCAAGAAAAACTAACAAATGTAGAAAAGTACAGTATGTGGATAAAATACACGGTGGTATGATTTTGAACAAGTGAAAGAATTAAGGGAGAAAATACTAAAATCCACTTGAACTTTATATTTATAACTTTCTCTTTTGGAAAATATGTTTTGTGACATTTAAGATTATACCATCTCTATAGTTCCAGTCATATAATTTGGTTCTCCTGACAATAATCTTTACATAATCACAGTATCACAAAAGCTCATTTTCCATTTTCAATTTTCATCCTATACAACACAGAAGATATAAATGTAATTATCAACAGAACGTAAATATGACACATCTTAGTCTAAAAGTAGCAAAATATCTGATGAGAGTTGGCTAGAGAGGAAGGAGAGAGGTTAGGAGGACTAATTTTCTACTCTATAGTCAGGATACAGAATTTTCTTTAATCCTCGAAAGATTAAGATATGGGGCTTCTGCATAAAAAGTTATAAAAGTGATCAATAGAAAACTAAACTAGATAACCCAAATGAGTATCAGTGGGGGTAGAAAGAAAATGTATAAGTAGGCTGCCTTCACCACTTTTTATGACATGGAGTCAACTGACACTGCTTAAAATGGCTGGCCTATGTTAATGAGGACTGGGAGATACTTTACATAAAAATTAATTTTTAAACATTTTCATTTTTCAGTGGCTTCCTCTGGGAAGTCAGATTAAGGTTGTATGGCAACAAAGTCTTCATTCTTATTTTATTGGTTCTCCTACTGTTTGATTTTTTTTTTTTTTTTTTTTTTTTTTTTTTTTTGTACCAGGGATCAAACTCAGGACCTTGCTCCAGCAAGGCAGGTGGGCAGAACCACTGAACTAACTCCCCAGCCCCAACTGTTCAAATTTTTATTGCAATGCTCTTAGGCTATTTTTATAGTTGAAAAAGAAATGTGCTTCTTGTATAGATAAGCTATTTCCTAAACTCTAGTTAGGATATTTATATGAGCATGCTTATTAATTATAACAGTAATACTGAATAATAACTAAATTTCACTGAGGGCTTTTTATGTGGTAAAAGCTAAATAAGCACTCTCACTGAATTATTATAACTATGATGATATAGATACTATTACCTCCTACATTTTATGTCT